CAGGATTGGTGGGGCCCAGGAAGGGCCAAAGCCTCCAGACTGCTCTGTTCTTTGGGGTGGGTCAGGAAAATTGTCTCTCCTCACTCTTCCTCCCTACTCCTCCAGAAAGGAGAGCAGGTACAAAATTCCCATCGACAGCCCTGAAATCCTAAATAAAAGTTATGTGGTGCCGCCCTCCCTCTCTGAGAGGCAAAGTGCTGGTTTGAAATGGCCAAATCAGGTTTAGCCTTCTACACCTTGAGTCTGTTCTCCACTCAAAGCCTCAGACCTCTAGAAGGCCCACCCTAACACCAAACGTGACCATTCAGGATTAGCAGCACCTGCCCCAGCCCATCTGTGGAAGGATGGATCAGCAGGGTGAGTGGAGGGGCTTCGGTGCATGCCATGCCCACACACCATTCACACAGGGGAAACTGACTCCTGGAAAAGCATTTGCATCCCCTAGCTTCCTTCCCCTGAAGAAAGGGGGGCTTTGTATCTGAATCCATGTGACATGGAACACAGAGGGTGGACCTCTCACCAGCCTCTCTGAGACACGGAAATGGAAGCTCCCCTAGTACCACCAGTATATCCACAGAGTCTGTGGGTAGGCACCGCTTCACCGGTGGGGTCTGCTCCATCCCCCCCCCAACACACGAGGACAGTAGACTCACCTCTGATCCACAGGGACACATGTTTCCACAAGCCCTAATCAATACATCGCACCTGCCCCAGGTGTGTCTCTGTAATTGCCAGGCCCCACTTGCTTCTCCTAGCGCACCCCCACCAGACCTTACAAATGCCCACTCTGCCTCCACTTCACATAAAGGACCGAGACACAAAACACGGAACATGTGGATACAAGTATTTTCCTCACTTGTGCACTCCCAGGTCCACACCCCTGGCTGAGTGAGTGAGCCACCCTATTGCGATCAGTGAACAGAACTTCAGCCAGACTACAACAGCTCAGCATGCCCAAGTCCCACACATCGGCCACTCTCCAGATTGGAGGCTTCAGAAGCCCTCCCACCCCTTACACCCGTAGTCCCCACCGCCATTCTTTTCCAGGGTTCCCCAACATCCACCTTCCCACGCCGCCGGCCCCTGGGTGACCCGCTACCCACACTGCCATCTCCTGGTCGCTGGGGAAGCAGACAACCCCCCCAAGAACGGTGCCCCTCTCCTTCGCCCCCTTCGCCCCTTCTCTGACACCTGTCAGCGCTCACTCCCTCCGCCCCTCACCTGTGTGCATGGGTTCCAGATTCACCATCCTGCCCCAGGCGGGGCCAAAGCCAGCGCCCCCCCAGGCCCCTCGCGACTGCCCCAGCCGGGCCCCCTGGGAAGCCAGGGTCTCCTTCCTCCCGCCCCCGGCCGCCGCCGCCGTGGAAGCCGCTGCCGGGGCCGTCGCCGCC